GTGAGACATCTTGTCTCTGTGTCTGTCTGTGTGTGTCTCTGTGTGTGTCTCTGTGTGTGTCTGTGTGTGTCTGTGTGTCTCTGTGTGTCTCTGTGTCTCCCTCGGTGAGACATCTTGTCTCTGTGTCTCCCTCGGTGAGACATCTTGTCTCTGTGTCTGTCTGTGTGTGTCTCTGTGTGTGTCTCTGTGTGTGTCTCTGTGTGTGTCTGTGTGTGTCTGTGTGTCTCTGTGTGTCTCTGTCTCCCTCGGTGAGACATCTTGTCTCTGTGTCTCCCTCGGTGAGACATCTTGTCTCTGTCTGTGTCTCTGTCTCTGTCTCCTTGTGTCTCTGTCTGTGTGTGTGTCTCTGTGTCTCTGTGTGTGTGTCTCTGTGTCTCTGTCTGTGTGTCTCTGTGTGTCTCTGTGTGTGTCTCTGTGTGTCTCTGTCTGTGTCTCTGTCTGTGTCTTCCTGTGTGTGTCTCTGTGTGTCTCTGTGTCTCTGTCTCTGTGTGTCTCTGTGTCTCTGTCTGTGTCTTCCTGTGTGTGTCTCTGTGTGTCTCTGTGTCTCCCTCGGTGAGACATCTTGTCTCTGTGTCTCTGTGTCTCTGTGTGTGTCTCTGTGTGTCTCTGTGTCTCCCTCGGTGAGACATCTTGTCTCCGTGTCTCTGTGTCTCTGTGTGTGTCTCTGTGTGTCTCTGTGTGTCTCTGTGTGTCCTGTGTGTCTGTATGTGTCTCTGTGTGTGTCTGTGTGTGTCTCTGTGTGTCTCTGTGTCTCTGTCTCTCTGTGTCTCTGTGTCTTCCTGTGTGTGTCTCTGTGTGTCTCTGTGTCTCCCTCGGTGAGACATCTTGTCTATGTGTCTCTGTCTGTGTCTCTGTGTGTGTCTCTGTGTCTCTGTGTGTCTCTGTCTGTGTCTCTGTGTCTCTGTGTGTCTCTGTGTCTCTGTGTGTCTCTGTGTCTCCCTCGGTGAGACATCTTGTCTCTGTGTCTCTGTCTGTGTCTCTGTGTGTGTCTCTGTGTCTCTGTGTCTCTGTCTGTGTGTGTGTCTGTCTGTGTCTCTGTCTGTGTCTCTGTGTGTGTCTCTGTGTGTCTCTGTGTGTGTCTCTGTCTGTGTCTCTGTGTGTCTCTGTGTCTCTGTGTCTCTGTGTCTCTGTCTGTGTGTGTGTCTGTCTGTGTCTCTGTCTGTGTCTCTGTGTGTGTCTCTGTGTGTCTCTGTGTGTGTCTCTGTCTGTGTCTCTGTGTGTCTCTGTGTCTCTCTGTGTGTCTCTGTGTGTCTCTGTCTGTGTCTTCCTGTGTGTCTCTGTGTGTCTCTGTGTGTCTCTGTGTGTCTCTGTGTCTCTGTGTGTCTCTGTGTGTCTCTGTGTGTCCCTGTGTCTCTGTGTGTCTCTGTGTGTCTCTGTGTGTCTCCCTGTGTCTCCCTGTGTCTCTGTGTGTCTCTGTGTGTCCCTGTGTCTCTGTGTGTCTCTGTGTGTCTCTGTGTGTCTCCCTGTGTCTCCCTGTGTCTCCCTGTGTCTCTGTGAGTCTCTGTGTGTCTCTGTGTCTCCCTGTGTCTCTGTGTTTCTGTGTGTCTCTATGTGTCTCTGTGTCTCCCTGTGTCTCTGTGTGTCTCTGTGTCTCCCTGTGTGTGTCTCTGTGTGTCTCTGTGTCTCCCTCGGTGAGACATCTTGTCTCTGTGTCTCTGTCTGTGTCTCTGTGTGTGTCTGTGTGTGTCTCCCTGTGTCTCTCTGTGTCCCTGTGTGTCTCTGTGTCTCCCTGTGTCTCTGTGTGTCTCTGTGTGTGTCTGTGTGTCTCCCTGTGTCTCCCTGTGTCTCTGTGTGTCTCTGTGTGTGTCTGTGTGTCTCCCTGTGTCTCCCTGTGTCTCCCTGTGTCTCTGTGTGCCTGTGTCTCTGTGTGTCTCCCTGTGTGTCTCTGTGTGTCTCTGTGTGTCTCCCTCGGTGAGACATCTTGTCTCTGTGTCTCTGTGTCTCCCTGTGTCTCTGTGTGTCTCTGTGTCTCCCTGTGTCTCTGTGTGTCTCTGTGTCTCCCTGTGACTCCCTGTGTCTCCCTGTGTCTCCCTGTGTCTCTGTGTGTGTCTCTGTGTCTCTGTGTGTCTCCCTCGGTGAGACATCTTGTCTCTGTGTCTCTGTCTCTCTGTGTGTGTCTCTGTGTGTCTCTGTGAGTCTCCCTGTGTCTCTGTGTCTCCCTGTGTCTCTGTGTCTCCCTGTGTCTCTGTGTGTGTCTCTGTGTGTCTCTGTGTGTCGCTGTGTGTCTCTGTGAGTCTCCCTGTGTGTCTCTGTGTGTGTCTCTGTGTGTCTCTGTGTGTGTCTGTGTGTCTCTCTGTGTGTCTCTGTGTGTCTCTGTGTGTCTCTGTGTGTCTCTGTGAGTCTCCCTGTGTGTCTCTGTGTGTGTCTCTGTGTGTCTCTGTGTGTCTCTGTGTGTCTCTGTGTGTGTCTCTGTGTGTCTCTGTGTGTGTTTGTGTGTCTCCCTGTGTCTCTGTGTGTCTCCGTGTGTCTCTGTGTGTCTCCCTGTGTCTCTGTCTGTCTCCCTGTGTCTCCCTGTGTCTCTGTGTGTCTCTGTGTGTCTTCCTGTGTCTCCCTGTGTCTCTGTGTGTCTCTGTGTGTCTCTGTGTGTCTCTGTGTGTCTCCCTGTGTCTCTGTGTGTCTCCCTGTGTCTCCCTGTGTCTCCCTGTGTCTCTGTGTGTCTCCCTGTGTCTCTGTGTGTCTTTGTGTGTCTCTGTGTGTCTCCCTGTGTCTCCCTGTGTCTCTGTGTGTCTCCCTGTGTCTCTGTGTGTCTCTGTGTGTCTCCTTGTGTCTCTGTGTGTCTCTGTGTGCCTCTGTGTGTCTCTGTGTGTCTCCCTGTGTCTCTGTGTGTCTCCCTGTGTCTCTGTGTCTCCCTGTGTCTCTGTGTGTCTCCCTGTGTCTCTCTGTGTCTCTGTGTGTCTCTGTGTGTTTCTGTGTGTCTCCCTGTGTCTCTGTGTGTCTCTGTGTCTCTGTGTGTGTCTCTGTGTCTCTGTGTGTCTCTGTGTGTCTCTGTGTGTCTCCCTGTGTCTCTGTGTGTCTCCGTGTGTCTCTGTGTGTCTCCCTGTGTCTCTGTGTGTCTCCCTGTGTCTCCCTGTGTCTCTGTGTGTCTCTGTGTGTCTCTGTGTGTCTCTGTGTGTCTCCCTGTGTCTCCCTGTGTCTCCCTGTGTCTCTGTGTGTCTCCCTTTGTCTCTGTGTGTCTCTGTGTGTCTCCCTGTGTCTCTGTGTCTCCCTGTGTCTCTGTGTCTCTGTGTGTCTCCCTGTGTCTCTGTGTGTCTCCCTGTGTCTCCCTGTGTCTCCCTGTGTCTCTGTGTGTCTCTGTGTGTCTCTGTGTGTCTCCCTGTGTCTCTCTGTGTGTCTCTGTCTCCCTGTGTCTCTGTGTGTCTCTGTGTGTCTCTGTGTGTCTCCCTGTGTCTCCGTGTCTCTGTGTGTCTCCCTGTGTCTCTGTGTGTCTCTGTGTGTCTCCCTGTGTCTCTGTGTGCCTCCCTGTGTCTCTGTGTGTCTCCCTGTGTGTCTCTGTGTGTCCCCCTGTGTGTCTCTGTGTGTCCCTGTGTCTCCCTGTGTCTCCCTGTGTCTCCGTGTGTCTCTGTGTGCCTCTGTGTGTCTCCCTGTGTCTCCGTGTGTCTCTGTGTGCCTCTGTGTGTCTCTGTGTGTCTCCCTGTGTCTCCCTCGGTGAGACATCTTGTCCCTGTGTCTTCCTGTGTCTCTGTGTGTCTCCCTGTGTCTTCCTGTGTCTCTGTGTCTCTCTGTGTCTCCCTGTGTGTCTCCCTGTGTCTCTGTGTCTCCGTGTGTCTCTGTGTGTCTCCCTGTGTCTCCGTGTGTCTCTCGTGTCTCCCTGTGTCTCCGTGTGTCTCTGTGTGTCTCTGTGTGTCTGTGTGTCTCTGTGTCTCTGTGTGTCTCCCTGTGTCTCCCTGTGTCTCTGTGTGTCTCTCTGTGTGTCTCTGTGTGTATCCCTGTGTCTCCGTGTGTCTCTGTGTGTCTCCCTGTGTCTCCGTGTGTCTCTCTGTGTCTCCGTGTGTCTCTGTGTGTCTCCCTGTGTCTCCCTGTGTCTCCGTGTGTCTCTGTGTGACTCCCTGTGTCTCTGTGTGTCTCCCTGTGTCTCTGTGTGTCTGTGTGTCTCTGTGTCTCTGTGTGTCTCCCTGTGTCTCTGTGTGTCTCTGTGTGTCTCCCTGTGTCTCTGTGTGTCTCTGTGTGTCTCTGTGTGTCTCCCTGTGTCTCTGTGTGTCTCTGTGTGTCTCCCTGTGTCTCTGTGTGTCTCTGTGTGTCTCTGTGTGTCTCTGTGTCTGTGTGTCTCCCTGTGTCTCTGTGTGTCTCTGTGTGTCTCCCTGTGTCTCTGTGTGTCTCCCTGTGTCTCTGTGTGTCTCCCTGTGTCTCTGTGTCTCTGTGTGTCTCCCTGTGTGTCTCCCTGTGTGTCTCCCTGTGTCTCCCTGTGTCTCTGTGTGTCTCTGTGTGTGTCTGTGTGTCTCCCTGTGTCTCCCTGTGTCTCTGTGTGTCTCTGTGTCTCTGTGTGTCTCCCTGTGTCCATCTGTCTCCCTGTGTGTCTGTGTGTCTTTGTGTGTCTCTGTGTGTCTCTGCGTGTCTCCCTGTGTCTCTGTGTGTCTCTGTGTGTCTCCCTGTGTCTCTGTGTGTCTCTGAGTGTCTCTGTGTGTCTCTGTGTGTCTCTCTGTGTCTCTCTGTGTCTCCCTGTGTCTCTGTGTCTCCCTGTGTCTCCCTGTGTCTCCCTGTGTCTCTGTGTGTGTCTCTGTGTGTCTCTGTGTGTCTGTGTCTCTGTGTGTCTCTGTGTCTCTGCGTGTCTCCCTGTGTCTCTGTGTGTCTCTGTGTGTCTCCCTGTGTCTCTGTGTGTCTCTGAGTGTCTCTGTGTGTCTCTGTGAGTCTCCCTGTGTGTCTCTGTGTGTGTCTCTGTGTGTCTCTGTGTGTGTCTGTGTGTCTCTCTGTGTGTCTCTGTGTGTCTCTGTGTGTCTCTGTGTGTGTCTCTGTGTGTCTCTGTGTGTCTCTGTGGGTCTCCCTGTGTGTCTCTGTGTGTGTCT